TTCCATTAGAAAATTCCAACATGAGGAATCTTGGAAATCAACCTACAATAACTAAATTAATTGAAAATACAGTCTTACACATTTCAAAGTTTTCCTGGAAAACTAGTGAAGGGAAAATTTTGAAACTTTTTGTATGTAAAGAGGAAGGTGAGAAGCTCATTTTCCTAGAATTTCAAATTTTTCCATTAGAAAATTCAAACATGAGGAATCTTGAAAATCAACCTACAATAATTAAATTAATTGAAAATACAGTCTTACACATTTCAAAGTTTTCCTGGAAAATTAGTGAAGGAAAAATTTTGAAACTTTTTGTATGTAAAAAGAAAGGTGAGAAGCTCATTTTCCTAGAATTTCAAATTTTTCCATTAGAAAATTCAAACATGAGGAATCTTGAAAATCAACCTACAATAACTGAATTAATTGAAAATACAGTATCACATATTTCAAAGTTTCACTGGAAAACTAGTGAAGGGAAAATTTTGAAACTTTTTGTATGTAAAGTGGAAGGTGAGAAGCTCATTTTCCTAGAATTTTAAATTTTTCCATTAGAAAATTCCAACATGAGGAATCTTAGAAATCAACCTGCAATAACTAAATTAATTGAAAGTACAGTCTTACACATTTCAAAGTTTTCCTGGAAAACTAGTGGAAGGGAAAATTTTGAAACTTTTTGTACGTAAAAAGGAAGGTGAGAAGCTCATTTTCCTAGAATTTCAAATTTTTCCATTAGAAAATTCCAACATGAGGAATCTTGAAAATCAACCTACAATAACTGAATTAATTGAAAATACAGTATCACATATTTCAAAGTTTCACTGGAAAACTAGTGAAGGGAAAATTTTGAAACTTTTTGTATGTAAAGTGGAAGGTGAGAAGCTCATTTTCCTAGAATTTTAAATTTTTCCATTAGAAAATTCCAACATGAGGAATCTTAGAAATCAACCTGCAATAACTAAATTAATTGAAAGTACAGTCTTACACATTTCAAAGTTTTCCTGGAAAACTAGTGGAAGGGAAAATTTTGAAACTTTTTGTACGTAAAAAGGAAGGTGAGAAGCTCATTTTCCTAGAATTTCAAATTTTTCCATTAGAAAATTCCAACATCTTGAAAATCAACCTACAATAACTGAATTAATTGAAAATACAGTATCACATATTCCAAAGTTTTCCTGGAAAACTAGTGCAGGGAAAATTTTGAAACTTTTTGTATGTAAAGAGGAAGATGAGAAGCTCATTTTCCCAAAATTTCAAATTTTTCCAGTAGAAAATTACAACATGGAGAATCTTGGAAATCAACCTACAATAACTGAATTAATTGAAAATACAGTCTGACATATTTCAAAGTTTTCCTGGAAAACTAGTGAAGGGAAAATTTTGAAACTTTTTGCATCTAAAGACGAAGGTGAGAAGCTCATTTTCCCAAAATTTCAAATTTTTCCATTAGAAAATTCCAACATGAGGAATCTTGAAAATCAACCTACAATAACTGAATTAATTGAAAATACAGTATCACATATTCCAAAGTTTTCCTGGAAAACTAGTAAAGGGAAAATTTCGAAACTTTTTGTATGTAAAGAGGAAGGTGAGAAGCTCATTTTCCTATAATTTCAAATTTTTCCATTAGAAAATTCCAATATCTTGGAAATCAACCTTCCAAAATTGAATTAGTTGAAAATAGAGTCTCACATATTTCAAAGTTTTCCTGGAAAACTAGTGGAGGGAAAATTTTGAAACTTTTTGTATGTAAAGAGGAAGGTGAGAAGCTCATTTTCCCAAAATTTCAAATTTTTCCAGTAGAAAATAACAACATGGAGAATCTTGGAAATCAACCTACAATAACTGAATTAATTGAAAATACAGTCTGACATATTTCAAAGTTTTCCTGGAAAACTAGTGAAGGGAAAATTTTGAAACTTTTTGCATCTAAAGACGAAGGTGAGAAGCTCATTTTCCCAAAATTTCAAATTTTTCCATTAGAAAATTCCAACATGAGGAATCTTGAAAATCAACCTACAATAACTGAATTAATTGAAAATACAGTATCACATATTCCAAAGTTTTCCTGGAAAACTAGTGAAGGGAAAATTTCGAAACTTTTTGTATGTAAAGAGGAAGGTGAGAAGCTCATTTTCCTATAATTTCAAATTTTTCCATTAGAAAATTCCAATATCTTGGAAATCAACCTTCCAAAATTGAATTAGTTGAAAATAGAGTCTCACATATTTCAAAGTTTTCCTGGAAAACTAGTGGAGGGAAAATTTTGAAACTTTTTGTATGTAAAGAGGAAGGTGAGAAGCTCATTTTCCCAAAATTTCAAATTTTTCCAGTAGAAAATTACAACATGGAGAATCTTGGAAATCAACCTACAATAACTGAATTAATTGAAAATACAGTCTGACATATTTCAAAGTTTTCCTGGAAAACCAGTGAAGGGAAAATTTTGAAACTTTTTGCATGTAAAGATGAAGGTGAGAAGCTCATTTTCCCAAAATTTCAAATTTTTCCAGTAGAAAATCACAACATGAGGAATCTTGGAAATCAACCTACAATACCTGAATTAATTGAAAATACAGTCTCATATATTTCCAAGTTTTCCTGGAAAACTAGTGAAGGGAAAATTTTGAAACTTTTTGTATGTAAAAAGGAAGGTGAGAAGCTCATTTTCCTAGAATTTCAAATTTTTCCATTAGAAAATTCCAACATGAGGAATCTTGGAAATCAACTTACAATAACTAAATTAATTGAAAATACAGTCTTACACATTTCAAAGTTTTCCTGGAAAACTAGTGAAGGGAAATTTTTGAAACTTCTTGTATGTTTATTGTAGGTTGATTTCCAAGATTCCTCGTGTTGGAATTTTCTAATGGAACAATTTAAAATTCTAGGAAAATGAGCTTCTCACCTTCCTCTCTACATGCAAAAAGTATCAAAATTTTCCCTTCACTAGTTTTCCAGGAAAACTTTGGAATGTGTGAGACTCTATTTTCAACTAATTCAGTTTTTGTATGTTGATTTCCAAGATTTTTCATGTTGCTGCTGTTTTCCGCTTGTAATTCGTGCGAATTTGAAGGAATTCGCAGGGAATATAGAGGAATTTGTTGGGTATATAGAGAAGTTCATGGTGGGGTAATTGGAGGAATTTGTGATGGGGTATCTGGAGGAATTTGCGGGAATTACGGGTAAAAAATTCCCCTTTGAGGAATTGTTTGCACCAATTCTGGGATGGTGGTTTACCCCTTGACTTTATACTTCAAGTATTTAAAATACTCAGTTGTAATATAATGTTTGTTGTAGGACAAAATACATATAAATAAACAATGAAATGTAAGCTGTGCTATAAGGATATTTCATTTACCTTCAAACAATCGTGACGTTAAGTTACCATAAAATTGTTCTCTATGTAATTTGTGCAGTTTTAAGGGGGTTTTCTATTACCTGAAAAGAAAAATTTTCGTTGTAGATAAACAATAAACAAACGTAGGTATATCACAGCCCCAAGGATATTACACTGTCACACTATTTTTGAAATCAAGGTCACGCACTGTTGCCAACGTCTCAAGTCAGCTGATTGTGCCAGCAAATTCATGATGGAAAATATTATTGTCAGTTAGTTAATGTCAATGACACTGAAATCATGCAATCATAGCCTGGTGAGTGGTGGAGCAAAGACCCTACTTTAAGGCCAAAATGAAAAAACTACACGTTGCCTACATCATCACTAGTACTTTCTCTGGCATAGTGAGGCCCTTGTGTGTGTGTGTGGCGAGGATAGGCTATCCTGTGTAGTGTGTAATATCCTTGGGAGTGCCTTTAAAATCCTACATATTTATATTAAAAACAAACAAGAATATGGCAAAAAATAAGTGTAGTTTCATGCAAAGCTTGTATTTTTGAATAAAATGGTACCTATATACCTTGCAATTTTCATGGCCCCGGCCAGCCCACGTTGTTTTTTCGGCAAGAAACCCATAATGTTTCTTATTGGCCAGTGTTGAGGGTGCCAATTTCAAATCGAACGCAAAACACTCCGACGAACATGTTGAAACACGTTTCCGCATTAAAATTGCCCGAAAAACAACAAAATTTTGCGAAAAACCGACGACCGATCCGACACGTGGCTCACCTCGACACGAAAAGAACTTTTTTCGACAAGATGGCAGCCAGTTTGGGGATTCCCAAGGCCTACTTGACCCTAGGCCGTGCGCAATGCAATTTTGCAAGAAAAATTAATATAATTGTTAATATAAAGTGAATAAAAATAATATAATTAACTAATCCTTGGCATTTTTTTTAATTTTTGGCTTATTTCAAAGAGAACTAAATAGATACCCTACAAAGCTGGCGCCATCTATCGGCAAAGTTGCAAACTACCTCAACAGGGGCATGATTTTTCATTTAAAACTGCAGTTTTCCAATAAAAAAAGTATTATTTTAATAGAAATAAGTGTAGTTTCATGCAAAGCTTGTGTTTTTTAGAAAAAATTATACCAAAACAAGGCCTACCTTGCAGTTTTCATGGCCCCAGCCAGCAGCATCATTCTTTGGCCCGAAACCCATCAAGTTTCCTATTGGCCAAGTGTCGAGTGTGCCAATACGAACGAAAAACACCCCGACAAACACTTTTAAACACTTTTCCGAATTAAAATCGCCCGAAAAACAACAAAATTTTACGAAAAACCGACGAGCGTCGCGACGCCCTGGCTGCTCGCCACCGAAAAGACAGTTCAAACTCAGGCATGCGCCTATTAAGTAAACAAGAAAAAAAACTATAATATTAATATAATTTTCAATGTAGAATAAATATTAAAAATATAATTAACTTATTTCTAGCATTGTTGTAATCATTGGCTTATTTAAATAAGAAAAATAAATTAAAATTCCCAAAAACAAAACTAGCGCCATCTTACAGCATAGTAGTAAACTATAAGGCAATTCGAAGCCAAGGATGATACACACTACTAAGGATGGCTTATCCTCATAAGGCCTGTGTGTAACAAATCCCCCCCTACCCCGCCTAGCCAAAAAATCAGTTGTGACGTAAACATCATGGCGTTTTTCGTCTTGACGTAGGCTGTTTGCACCACAGGTTATGTTATGATCTGGCTGCTGGCTGGAAATTATGGAACTAGTTTCTAGTATAATTAAAGTCTAAAATTATAAAATTATATCAGATACATATAATCATGACTTTTAATCATTACTGTTGTGTTCCTCAATGCAAGTCTTGGGCTAAAAAAAAAAAGCTGACAAAGGATTGAGTTTCTACATATTTCCCCTTGAAACAGGCCCACGGGTTTATTTGGAAACGAAAATGGAAAAAGAAGTGTCGAGAAGAAAAGCCTTCTGGATTTTAAAACTTCGTATTGGCAAACCAGTCACCAAATTCATGAAAGTGTATTCTCTGCATCTCAATTAAGCAAGAATTTTGTGTTAAGGTAAACAAGCATAATGGATAGTTTTGTGCCCTAGCTTCATTTTAGGCCTGCTTCTAGGCATTTATCAAGTACTACCTATCTATTTTTAAAATGTTTTGTTTGAAAATATTGACTGTTTTTATTATTTACAGGTGAGAGTACAGGTCTTAGGGCGGGTATTATAAAACTGCTTTGACAGTTAACTTTTTGAATTACATGTAATTCCAGAAGTTAACTTTAAGTTACCTCTCAAAGTAGTTTTATAATACCCACCCTTAGAGGTACAGGTAGAGGTCGGATATTGAAAAAAACAGTTGTACCATCCCAGAATTTGCCCTCTTCTATAGTGATCCATAAACCGAGCCAAAAAATAGATTCCATGGGTGCTGAAAAAGTTGCCGAAAGAAAAAGAAATCAAGATTCTAGTGAGACTGATACAAGTAATGAATGTCAGAATGTAGTTATACTTTTAATCAATTATTAAACTCTTCTCAGATAGGCATACAAATGGCCGAGCAAACAGCAGAACGTGTAAAGTGTTTATTAAATTCTAATTACCAGTATTATATTATAGGTAGTTCGAGTAAAAATCAGATTTGTGGTCAAGTTATTTGACTTTGTTAATTTAATTTTCACCTATTTATAAATAAAAATAAAGAGTTATTTATAAAATGTTTATTTATTTATTACACATACAAGTTATTCAAATACAGACATTATAAGGGAGATCCATACCAGCCTTGAGACCCTTTTGGCAATGTCCTATTGTAGAAAGTTTACAAAAATATAAGAAAAAGATCCGGTTAGGCTGTTGTATAGATATAATCATTTCGGGTCAGATAAACGAAATAGATTATAATGAATTTTGGCCTGCATCATCACGAGCAGCATTATGGGTGAAAATTATTACCCAGTGTAAAACTTTCGAGAACAGTGAATAAATAAGTCGATATTGCATTTGCAGCACATTGTTCTTCCTCGGCTGCTACAGTACATCGTTTTTTTTACGTTCAGGAAAAGTGTTTCAATAATGATGCAGTCCATAATACCTTATATCATTATTGACTCAAAAATCACTTGCTGCAGCCCGAAGCATATTCTCCTGTAGCGCAAGGTGGTACTTTATATTTCCTCGGGTATGTCTGAAAATAAAAATAAAGTTAAAATTGTATGATTTCCCAAAAAATTGTTAATTCTACTCTACCTGTGATATATTTCCCATTCGAATAAACAATTTCTGCACTAGCACAAAAGTTGCCTAGTAGATAAGTCAAAACCACGTTCCTCATCTGCTGAATCTTAGTCAGTGAGCTCTTTGCTTTCTGTGTGGGCTCGATATATTATGCCATCAACATTTTCATTATCATAAGCAGTATTCAAAGCTTCCTGATGGCTAATTCCACAAACAAAATGTAAGTAGGACAGCTAAAAATGTCAGCTTCTGCCCAGGCCCATATGCCATATGGGACAGTAATATTTACAAGAATATAATACATAAACAAACAATTTATGCTCGAATAGGAATATGTTATAATAATATGAGAAAACCCTAAAAACAATTAAATAGTATAGAATAAATTATCTTATAGTTATTATACTTACATCAAAGAAATGTAAACAAAACGCCGCGTAATTCTCCTAGGGCTCCATTAAATCATACATGCTGAAAACGTGTAAATAGGCGGAATGACGAAAGCTAGCCAGATATCGCGCTTTACCCGCTATAATGGTTAATCAAAATCAAAATAAAATATTTTTCATGACAAATTATAAATTTATAAAACCGCTGGCGCAAACAGCTGGCGACTTTGTTATGACGTCAGCAGTGGTTGGAAACAGTTGAAAACCAATATGGCGGCAATTACCCAAAAAGGGGCCGATAAGCACTCCTTAGTAAGTTTATTCTCCTTGAAAACTTCCAAGTGTGAGATTGAGGTTATGTACTATATTTTGTTTTTTTTTTCTTGTTATTGATTGATCTAAACAAATTCGAAAGTTTCGTGAAAAATATTGAAAATTATCCTATAAAATGACTGCACGCGCAAAATCTGGACCTTCGAGGATAGAAGTGGAAATAGAAAAGAACAGGGAAGAAGGGAACTGGCTAAAGGTCATCGAATTGGCCCAACAGCTCAAGGATAAAGCAAGTGAATTTGGTAATGACTACCTATAGTATAGTATGATAGTATGCACTGCAGAATTCCCAAATAATTTTCCCCTATACAAACTTTAAATTACTGCTCATAATAAATTGGGACTTGATGCTCGTCCGATAATCGGAATGAAAGTGTTTTTGTTTCTATTCCGATGATCGGGCTACTAGTTTCTTTTGTTATTATTCCGCAAAATAACTTAAGTATTCACCTATTACTCAAGATATTTTTTTCGGACTATTAGGATTTAATCATATTATTCCGAAAATGATTTATGGTTTGAAATAGGTTAGAGGTTCCCTTATATTATGTTAATACGGTGATACTTTAATTAGTTGATTTGTAAGTATTAGTGCAAGTTTAGAGAGTAGAATTAGAATTATTACAACACTATAGATTATTAAAAAAACGTTAGAACGAGGGGTTTTTCACCTAACAAAATTTGTACACCGATTAACAGTACTAACTGAGATATGTTCATGTATTAACAGATATTTCTATTCTATGTAGATACCTAATAACAAGTTATTGCCAACTATTTCCATGTATTAACAAAATATTTCCACATATTGCCAGGTATTTCCCTAGCATTATTACATGTTACCAGGTATTGCCATGCTATTGACAGACTTAAATCAAATATTTGTCTTTCCAGAATTCTAGGTATTGACATATTCACAGGTATTTACATGTTATTAATGGGTATCAACACTCTCAACCAATGACATTAAGGGCCAAATTATGGTCTGACTGGTAAACATCTGGTTGTTACCTAGCAGGTACTTTCTATCTTACGGGTACAGAACTGCTTTGTTTTCTTTCCTACAGATACACAAGAAATAAAGACGATTCTTAAAACGGTCAAAAACCAAACTGCTGCTGGCTCAGACGGCATTTCAACAAAAATACTTCGGGAACTACCAGACCAAGCCTTCAATATATTAGCACAGGCGATAAATAAATCATTTTCTGATGGCTCGTTTCCCACTAGTCTTAAAGAAGCCTTAATCGTTCCAATCCACAAAAGTGGTGACACAAAAAATCCATCTAACTACCGCCCCATCTCACTATTGTCTACAATTTCTAAAGTACTAGAAAAATTACCTAAAAAGCGAATGTTGAGTTTTCTGACATTGCATAATGTTTTCAATTCCACCCAGTCCAAATTTCTCCCAAAAAAGGGCACGCATGATGCAATGTTCTGTGTGATCGAGGTGCTTTTCAGAAACTGTAACAATGGATATGTTACTGCGGGAGTGTTCTGTGACTTTTCAAAGGCTTTTGATTACGTGAGTCACAGAGCACTACTGGGGAAACTAGAAGCCTATGGTTTCCGAGGCATAGTTCTGGAATGGTTTTGGTCGTACCTTTTCCATCGCAGCCAGCGTGTCTCCGCGGATGGCAGAATTGTTCAGAGAGTAAAAAAAAAAGATAATATACAAGGTGTCCCATTTAAAATAACACAGTCAATGCCATTTCTGGTGAAACCGGAAAAGCCATTCATTTGTTTCCATATTAAAATTGTTCAAAATTTTCAACCCTATCGACATACGGAATTGCATATTTCTATCTTGAGCCGTTAAGAAATGCCTCCGTGGGTAGTAGTTTCATTGTCACCCGGTATAGGAATTTAAAGAACCAATCAAAAATAAGACAGCAATTGTCGTCACTGTGAATGGTATGTGGTATGTAATGAAAGAAAGGGACCGCGCAATCAGACGATAGAATATAATATTTATATACAGGGTGTCCCACGACGTTTCTCTCAGGTAATAACTTCGGAACGCGTCATCCAATATAATTATTGAAATTTTCAGGATCTGGGTAACTTTTTGTACCGCTTTTACCATTGTCATCCAATTTCACCAGTTTCGCTTCAATTTCGGCCAAGTGACGTCATCTTTCGAATCTTAAATGTAACTCATTGTATATTATGGCATTTTTCGTTAGAAAATTAAATAATAAAATCGGCAATACCATATTTGTTGAGGCTTTGGTAAAGAAATTGATAAAAAATTATACATTGGAACATACGATGATGCGTTCCGAAGTTATCATTTGGGAGAAACCTCGTGGGACACCCTGTATAATGATAGCGCTTTTGACTTTTATCTCAAAACTGCTCCCGATTGATCAAAAAGCGATCTAAAACGGATTCACATGTTCGACTTGCGCATTAAACGCTCTCAAATCTCGCACGGAGCGTTATTCCTTGCTCCGTCAAATTCGATAGATCAGTGATTGGTCAAAACAAAACAATTGAAGTACGTTCGGTTATTGATTTCAAATAGGGTGACCTCGCTTGGATCATAATCGCTCTCGGAGCACTTCCGCAGAGATCTGTGACGTCACCGCCCAAATAGAGAGCGCTCTGGGACCAGTAAAGCCGAAATTGCTCTGAGATAATACTGTTAAAAAAAAAAAGTTGGGTTATGTAGTGGTGAGAATCAAAAAAAAATTTTTGGAGGTGGACCACCCTTATAATTTAGGGTTATAAAAAATAGCTTAAAACCTATTCTCAGACCTACCGAATATACGTATAAAATTTCGTAAAAATCGGTAAAGCCGTTTCGGAGGACGAACTGTGACATGAGAATTTTATATATTAGATTGTCACTATGTGCTTGAATAATAGTGTTTTTTAAATTTCCAATAACAGTGAGTTCAAGAGCAATTATTATTAAATTAAAGTGTTTAAAGGCTTACCCATAAATTATAAGCTTACCGCCTTTGTAAATACTAGCACTTTTTTTTAAAGCAATAGTTATACTAGGCCTTTGCATTTTTCTTACGGACAGCAAATTGTAAGGAACCTCTGGACAGTCCTGCCTATACCAAAGACTTTCCTGTATGCCCATATTACTGGGAATACTAATTGTGCCCTTTTTGGTTCCTGTTATAAGAGTTCCATTATTTTTTTTTTATTGATGGAATTGTTTTGTTTCGCTTTTTTCATTGTGTTTCAGAGACTTGATTTTTTTTCTTGAAATTGCGTCTTTTAAAATCGGTTTTAAAATACCCTCAACGATAATTATTTCTAAATTGCTGAGCTCTGGTGTTCTTATCTAAGTTCAAGCTCTGTTAGCGTGAAGCCTTTTGTTTCTTTTTAGTTTCAAATTTTCCATTGGCACTATCACATTAAAGAATCCCAGTTTTCAGAACCGCAATGAATACACGTACACTGGTCCCATAACCTATCGGGAAATTGACTAAGAAATAAAAGAACTTGTTAATTATCGATATTCAATATATTTATTATATCGAACACAGCGTGGAAAGCAGAGCGTGTGAACTCATAGAAATAACTATACGAACTGACTCAACATCAAGACAAAGAATTACAAACCCTTTCTTAAGTAAACGATTCCTCATCTGTTTACCTGACATATAAAAACTATTATAAACACATTCAGTCATCCATAGCTGCGATATAAATTAGCAAAGTATAGGCTAATAATCAAAGTTCAATTTATTAATTTTTGTTTCACTGATATGAATATCAGTTTATCCAACAATACAGGGTGTGAAAAAAGCTATAGTCCCGAATAATGAATGAAAATAAACCATACCTAAAGTCTGTTTTTTTTTTAAAAGATAATTCCCCAAGTCAAAAATTTAGTAACTATGTTGGCAACACAAGCCTATTCCACATAAAAAATTTGAAACCGTTGACAATTTTACATTGTATTGCCAACATAATGTCATTTTGACTTTTATCTTAAAAAAAAAAACAGATTTTATTATTTCTTTTTTAAACCACTACTACAAGTGGATTAACAAAGTTCTATTACCACTCTAATACCAATATCACAACAAGAAACAATAATACACAAAAGCTATTCCCGAATTATTTACAGCCTGAAGCAGCAAGAGAAACAATACTTTGAATTTTGAATCCAATATCCACGATAAATCCCGGCGGTCGTTGATCACGTCATTGAAAACGCGTCGTAAGTCTTAACCGGGATTCGTATGAATACCGGTGCCGGGAGGCTAGACACAGCGTTCTTATAATGAAGTAGAGTCTTACATAAAGACAGTTGAAAACGAGTTACTTATATCCCTATATAAAAGAGATGTTTCACACTTTGATTAGTAGCAAGTTCAGGTCTGTAGTGCTTCTATTTAGTTGTCGAATTGTAAACGGATCTGTCAAATGATTAATGTTAAGTGATAAGTGCAAGTCCAAAAAATTATCAAATTGTGTTCTATTTTTCTGTATGTCAACAGTCGGCATCACAGATTATTTGACACTAAACACTTGTAGTTAACAAAATGTGAACTGGCCACAGACAAAAGACATGCTAAACAGTTTCTTCTATTCTGGTGAAGGCTTATTGAAATACATCATTTATTAAGCAAACAATCCATAACAATCATATTCAGATATAAACATATAACAATAATATTAACTTATGTTTAGGTCGGAGGCTTAACTAAATGAACTGAACTCCTAGACAATGCATTTGTAGCATTGGTAACGGAGTTTGGTTTATATATATCACATTACAAAGGTTGCGTGGTTATTATATCTATCAATCATCGAATTTCAGCTTTAGCATTTTAATAAATTTGTGATATTGGCATTCTTGCTTTATTTCAATAGACAGATTGTTGAATACCTGTGAGGCTTCATCAATAGGGTTTCTCAACGCCTTATTGGTTCTAGCACTATTCAGTCTGATGTTGTTGTGCCTTAAGTGATATGTGTGTATGTCTTTTGAATAAACTATTGTGTAATTTGATTTTTGGAGGTTATTAATTATTTTAAAAATTAGTTTTGCTTGTTCTAACTCACGAATTTGGTCAATTGACTGTATTTTTAACAATTTATATATCTCATTGGTGTGCATAAGGTGGTCAAGATTAAACAGAATTTTAAGTACTTTATTTTGCAGAACTTTAACTTTTTGAAAGCTAGTTTTACTGCAGGTTCCCCATACTGGTATAAGGTATCGTAGGTTTGAAAGGATGTAAGCATTATATATTTTATATTTTGTTGAATTACTTAAAAATTGTTTAAATCTGTGAAATGCTCCCATGAAAGGAATAATTTTGTTTTTCACATGCTCGATGTGGGCATTCCAGTTAAGATTTTCATCCAGTATAAGTCCTAAGTATTTTACGCTGTTCACACTTTCTAGCTTTACTCCATTTAGGGATATGTTAACTTGATCTAAATGTTTGTTTTTTTGTTTAAATATTATGTAGTTTGTTTTGGCCAAATTTATCTTAAGATTATTTTGTAATAGCCATTGGCTATATTTAGTCAAGTCATTATTCACTTGATCAACCAGAATGTCACAACTGTGGTCGGTATATAATAGAACAGTGTCGTCTGCAAACATATAGTATTGGGCATCTAACCCAGATACTCGCAGACTGAGAACATAAAGTGAGTAGAGTAGAGGTCCCAACACTGATCCCTGAGGTACACCACAGTTGTAGGTTAAGATTTCACTTTCCTGTTGATTCACACACACACATATTGCTCCCTGTTTAATAAGTACGACCCAATCAAAGAAAGCCCACATCCTTTAAAACCCATACCCTCCAACTTATTCAATAAAATAGTATGGTTGACCACATCAAACGCCTTTTGCAAGTCCACAAAAACTGCTATTATGATTTTACCTTTATCTAAGTTGGTTGAAATGTAGTTGAGCAGATCCACAGTGGCACTAAGAGTACTGCTATTTTTAAGAAACCCATATTGATATAAATCGTATGAGATAAATCTTTCCACGAATGATATTACCCGTTTTTTTATTACAGTTTCCATTATTTTAGCAAATACACTGATTATGGAGATGGGTCTATAGTTATTATGTTGTGTTTTTGCTCCTGATTTGTATATTGGGCATACCTTAGATATTTTGAGTGCTGGTGGAAATTGACCTGTGCTGAGTACCCTATCGACAAGCTGTACTAAAATGTTCAAAATGTGATCTTTTATATTAATTAAATATGTTACTCTAATTTTATCATGGCCTGGTGCCGCATTCCTTTTGAGGTTTAATAATATACTATTCAGTTCATTACAGTCCGTAGGGACATAAAATACATTATTATTACATTAAATTTCATTGAATTTTTGAATTACATTTAAATTTTTGGCATCTTCTTGTACATCCTTGATTATAGTCGCACCTATCTCCGTAAAATATTTATTCAAATCATTTGCAATTTTTCTAGGATCATTTACAAGTTCGCCATTTATTTCGATTTGGCTTATGTTGTTATTCATAGAAGTATTTTTTGGAAATACATTATTTATGATATTCCATTGTTTTTTTGCATTTTTTCCGGCGAGAGTCCATTTATTTTTAAAGTAATTATTTTTCAGTGATTTTATTTTATTGTTTATAGAATTTTTTAGTTTTATAAAGTCTAGCTTCAGAATATTATTATTTGGGAATTTTTTATGTTTTTTGTACGCCGATTCTTTTTCCTTTATCAAGATTAACAAGTCTGGTGTTACCCACTCATTATTTTGGCCACATTTGATTTTTTTTATAGTTGTAGATTCTTTTTTACACTCAGAAATAATATCTATCAGGTCATTGAATGAATTTATATTTATATCCGTTATTCTATTGCGAATTTTTTGTTGGTATTTTTGTATGTTTAAAATAGGATGTTAAATAGGTGATAAATACTTTAGGCTTGAACCTTTTGATACTTTCTTTAACCTCTAAACTGATTTTTTTATGATCTGACAGCGAAGTGTCTTCAACCCTGATAAAGCATTCATTTTTTTTATTGTTAGTACAAATTATATGATCAATTATAGTGCTAGTGTGAGAAATACGGGTCGCATTTGCGATGTTAATCTTGTTGACAATACAATAATTATTTAATGCTATCATATTTTTATAGTCTTTGGTAAAGTCGATTCCTGATCTAAGAGATTAATATTAATATCCCCTAATATGATATGGTTTACCTTATGAGTAGTTATCACAGATTCAAGCTTATGTAAGAAGTCGATACATGGATAGTTCGGAGGTCTATAAAATGCACTTAGTTTAAGTTTGTCTATTTGTATACAAATCCAGTTATACGGTTCACTGGGATCACTACAGTCTATTTTATTAAATTGTATGTTATTTTTGATATAGATGCTTGCTCCTCCGCCTCTGGATTCTCTGCATGAATGTATGGCCTGGTATCCATCCACGTTATAAAATTGTGTTTCGTTGGGATAAAGCCATGTTTCCACAAGAACAAATATGTCAGTCGATGTAATTTTCATGTTGGCTTGAAACTCTTCAAACTTATTCCGTATACTTTGAATATTATAATAAACTATGCTAAGAGTATTTTGAGGTTTACTTAATTAGTTTTTTTATCATTCTATAACAGAATTTCTGTTTGCCTTGGTTGCTTATTTTTCTACTCTGTAGTTCATCAATCGGTCCAATTTTTTTGTGCTTTTACTATGAGTAAGCTTCTTCTACTTATCATGGTTTGTTACTATTTTGGTTTTTCCTAATCCAGTAGTGATAAGTGAATACGTTTTTTTTTACAGACATGCATTTACATAATTTTTCATAAATTTCAGTATGTTTATCTGATTTTCTCATTGGTGAAGGCAAATTGGAAAATTATTTGGAAGAATGGCCACTCACAGAACAAAATATGCACAGAGCCAAATTAGGACTGATAGATGCCAAAAGGTATCTCAATATGGTTATTAACGATGCAGGGAAAAAGGTACAATATTACCAACAGAAAGTTTAACTTGTTTTATGACCTCTATTGTGTTTTAGGCAGGAGTTTATATGGACGCACATTTACTATTAGGAAAAACTAATTATGCATGTGGTCAATTTGGTGATGCATTGAAAAACTTCAAAATGGCAGATCTGCAGAATTTATCTGAAAAACGATTACCTTTGTAAGAAGCAGATAAATAAGTATTCTATTTTAAATTAATAGTTCAATGTAATCCTTTAGACGAAGCTTAAAGATTGTAGCTGAATCATATGCGATAAAAGGTTTGTGTCTGCAAAAAGATACAACAGCTTCTAGCAAATTTAAAAAAGCTGAGAAAGAGGAAGAGTTGGCCAGATGTTTTGAATTAGCTTCAGATTTAAGTTTGCTCTATATGCAGAATTTGGAAAGGGAAATTAATGTTGTATCAACAGGAACAACAGGTGAAACTATTGATGGTTAGTAATTTAACTTAATAATGAAATTTTTGTGTAGGCAGTCATTCCCCTCAGCCACCAGGACAGCAAAAAACCCTCGGAGAAGTTCTAGAACAGGCTTTGCAAGCTGCTCCATCAGCTCTATTGCAGCAAGGAAAAGCAGATCAGGCACTGGAAAGATATAGGTAACTATTTTGCAATAGTAATAATGTTATTAACAAATATTTTCTAGGAATACATTATGTGCAGTAGAATCATCAGGTGTTCATAATTTAAGGCTGAAATTTTTCACTAAACTAGCAGAAATTCTTTTACAAGGACTGGTGGGGGAAAAATATGTGGCTCCAATTAATAATACCTTAAAAACCTCCTATTGGATGCCGAAATATTATGCTTCTTTAAATCAGGTGACATTTTCAGTGTTTTAATTAATAATTCTAGGAAAATGTGTTCGAAATAACATTTCTATTTATTTGCATGCTGAAAAATTATTGAATTATTCAAACTGGTTATTGATTTTAGATTTCAAAAGTTCAAACTCTTGCGTGAATATTTAAATTTATTGAATAATTGCCCCTCAACTTTCCGAACTTCATTACATTTTCTGGGGTTTGTAGGTTGTGCATTAGTTGTTGGTGACGCATAAACTAGTGATTTATGAATCAGAATAATATGTTTCTTTTCAACTGGTTCACATTCCTGGATAAACAAGTAGGAAAGTATTAACTTGACAGAAGTAATAGTGGCATTGTTTTTAGTTTTTAACATGTTTGATTTAAGATAACTAAAGCTCATTTGAAATTGAAAGCTAGTTTTACATCTAGAGATATAAATTCATAAATTTCTTCACATCAAGCATTTTTACATTGGTGTATTTTCAATAACATGAATACGCAAAATTTCAATGGTAGGTATAGTGTAAAAAATAATTATACTCATTTATTATGATGACGTCAATCAGGTGGGAAAAAATGCATGGCGTAACCCATAACTAACTGATTGGGGAGTGTATTTCTTCATGTAGAAATACATGGGAAAATACACAGATGTAGTGGGGAATTAAAACTATGACAATAACAAATAAATTTATAATAAAAAGACATGCACCAACCTTTATCATTCAATTATTGTGTATAATTGATGTACGAAATCGAAATAGCTTGTTAATTTTTAATGACCTCCCTTGTTTTTGATTCCAACTTTTTTTTTAATTAAATTTTTATGGTTAGTTTATACCCAGATGCGATTACGAAGAGGTAATCCTAGTTTTACTGGTGGCCGAATCGATGGCAGTGAGGAACGCCGTTTTGTCTCAGAGTCCTGAGTTTAAAGAAATCAGACTTAGTGTTGGTCAGGACGCTACTGCGGTTTACGATTTGTTGACCGTCGCTACTGTGCGGTGGGGACAAGTGGCTTTATTGCAAGAGGTGATTTGCAGGTATTTTAGTTTTTGATTGCACTATAGATTATTATTCAGTCCTTAGAAAGATCAATGAAATTCTCCTTTGAAGATCCTCATTTATGGAAGCAACACGCACTGGCGCTAGTGTCAATTGGAAACTATGAACACTCCTTGTTAGTATTAAGAGAAGTGATTAGACTGGAACCAAACAATTCCAGCAATTGTTTGTTAGCAGCTAAAATTTGCTTCGAACATTTAAATTTGTCTGATGAAGGTAAGTAGCTAAGTGTTTGCCCGATTTACATCCTAAATTATATTTTTTTGCATATTATAAGGAATTGAGTTTAGCATCCAAGCAATAGAAAAAGAATCGAGCAATCCTTCAGGCATTTTGGGTAGGTGTCATCTTTATGCAGGTATTGGCTATCATTTAAGAGCCGAAGCTAGTATTCTCAAAAAAGAGAAGGAAACTTTCTGTTGCAGAGCTTTAGATAATTTAAAAAGGTACATTATAAATAAATTATGTTGTTACAACAAACAAACAGCTTTTTTTTAGTGCCGTAGAATTAGAACCCAACGACCACCTAACCAGGTACTTCCTAGGTCTACAATTGGCCATAATGGGTCAGATAGTGGAAGCTCAAAATCACATTAGAACCGGTTTGGTCTTGCAACCTGAACATTCATCCACGTTGCACTTATTGGCTCTCATTCTAACTGCAGAACGTCAATATAAATTGGCCTTGACATTAGTCGAAAACGCGCTGGAAGAATACCCAGACTGTTTGAATTTGTTGTACTTGAAAGCCCATTTAGAATTGCACGAAAAAGGCGGTGAGGTAGGTGGAAGCGTTTTTTGTAGATGTTCTTTAATAATTATTTTAGGTCGCATTAATAACAGCAAAACAAATGTTGGAATTATGGAAAAATCTGTACGAAAGCCAGACAATTTCGGATATGCCCGAATGTGATCGCAAAAGTGATACTAGGTCAGTTTTCCAGCTGTACACATCAGAAATGTCAGACAAAGATTCCAGTAAGTCCAACAGTAACCTCGGTATAGCTATGTTTTTCGAACAATAAATTTCAGGTTCTCTTCAATTACAAAATACTGCAGCCAGCCGTGTGGAACAAGCACTAAGCGAAGTGGCCAGTTCAATGAGTAGTTTCAGTCCGCGTCCAGGGCCTCAAAGGGCGTGGATGTTGCAAGTAGAAGTTTGGCTTCTCTTGGCCGAACTTTATTTGTCTTTGAATCAACTAGCTGACGTGCAACAGTGCATTCAGGAAGCCATGCAAATTTATCCCTTGAGCCATCATATTATGCATATGGTATGGATTTTAGGGTGAGAATCTCACATTTTAACATTTTTTTATTTAGAAAGGGCTATTGCATATGCGCAAAGAGGAATGGACGGAGGCTAAAGTATGTTTTCAAAATGCAGTCGCCATCAATCCGCTGCACGTCAAATCTTTACAGCAGCTGGGGTTGGTCTATCACTATTTGGGCTTGCAAGGACTGGCCGAAACGACGCTCAGAGAGGCTGCTAAAATTGAACCACATAATACTGTAACATGGTAATTATTAAGACTCTGAAAAATAAATTGAATGTGTGCGCACCGTTTTTTTAGGTATAACTTGGGAAAAGTTTTAGAAGCACTGGGAGAATATGAAAAGGCGAGCAACGCCATGGCTACTGCTTTAATGGAAGAAAAAAATAATCCAATTTTACCATTCAATTCTGTACCCTTATGCTTTGAATAAGGTACAGATTGATATGGGTTTAACTTCAAGTCCTAAAAACTGTCTTAAACTGAATCGTTAAAATAAACTTTGCATCAAAAAGTAATGCTTACATAAAATAATTTTCCTAAAAATATTGTTGTAGCAAGTAAGTAACATTATTCGAATTCTTTTATTTGTTTATATTGTAGGTATTGTTGAAAGTAATTTATTTAAAGTAGAAGTTAATAATAGTTATGTATTAAGGTTTTAAGCTATACATATAAGGAGGTATCTGGTGTACATACTGAATTAGCTGAATAAAAATTACAAAAAACAAACATCAAACTTGAATAGTTGAAGACTGGAAAAAAATACGACTCGTTGAAATAGTTATTTATGCAACAAGTGTGTAAAGTGACAATCACATGAGTGAAAAAAGGTGCTTTACGCAAGTATTGCATACAAAATTTTTTCTACTACCAATCAAATATGTGTACAAAAATAAATTTAGTCAAATACTTTACGCACTAGTGCGTAAAGAATTTTCATTTTACGAACTAGTGCGTGAAGTGATTTACCAGAAAAATGCCAAATTGACAGTGTCGACATCTGTCATTGACATTATTTTACGCACTAGTGTTTGTTGAAGTGAATTACTTTACGCACTAGTGCGTGAAGTGAAATATTACGTCTTCTGAATAGCGCGTAAAGTGAGTACTTTACGCATGGTAGTAGAAAAAAACCTTTCCATATTCGTTCGACTTGAGACAACAAACAGCATTTGTATATTGTGGGTGAAAAGTGTCCTTTTCTGCACTTGTTATATGTATGTACAGTGTGTCCACTTAAGTTCATAGCACCTTTTTATTATCAATTTTACAAAAAAAAAGTTATTCTTTATAAAAGTTTTTGCTTCTATTTTTCAGAAAATTGAAGATAAAAAAGTTTCCCATATGCTGCAAACTTAAGTGAACACACTGTATAAATTTTATAGGTTGTAATATATTATTTATCTGTAAAAATAATAAATTATGCTCGTTAATAAAATTGTTTGTTTTCTGACATTATTATCTTTTCTCTTTATTTCTCTTTTTTTTTGAGCTATTGATTTAAAATTTTGACATGATAGGTACCTACAGTCCAAACCTTCTACTACACACCTACCATACCTCAAATGCTTGTTACTTGTTATTGGTATTTTTTCATAAGGATGAAGAATTGACAATTTGTTTTATTAGCGGTTATTATTATGATTATAATGGTATTTGAATTGAGGAAAACAATGATAAAAATTTTAAAACCACAAATCTCAAAAGTAATTTGATTTATGTATATATTTTTTCAGCAGCAATATTGTGGTGAATTTCTATAACGTAATGCTCATTGCGACTGATCGGTGATGGAATTTATCAGGAAAAATACAAGAGAATAAAAACGCGCATGTTTAGGACTGACCCGCGTTCCTAAAGTCTAAAAACAGCTAATATTTTAAAGGCAGTGGCTAGGGTTGGGTAAATTTCACTTTTCACTTCATCTGGAAATTTTACTATGAAATTTTCATGGAAATATTGAAATTTTTGAAATTTCCGTGTTTTCAAAATTTCTGAATTTTTCTGAAAAATTCCAAAATATCATGAAATTTTCAGTAGTAATAGCCCAAGGACATTGATAATTGTCCGAAAAAATTTTATAACAGATTTCGAAAGCTTGTTGCTTGAACTGTTTTCTTTAAGCAACAAGCTTGAGGAAATTTTTGAGCATTTATCAATGTTCGAGGGTTATTCATGAAATGTCAAAATAGTTACCGGCTATCGAATGTCGGTTCTGTTAGTTCTATCTGTAATTTCTGTCAATTATTTTTTATTCCATATTCGCGTTCCCCAAGTAACGGGAGTTTTTAATAACCATTTGTCAACCAATTTGGTTACTTTGGTTAACGTTTGGTTATATTCGGCCATAGTATAGTGTTTATGAGGTGGTGGTAGGGTATAGGTGCAAAAATAAATAAGTACAATGGTTGGATATTCTTCAGAAATTTTATTCTGACTTAAATTTCGAATGTAAATAAACAATATCTATTTTCCTAACAAGTGCAAGAAAAGAAATTTCCGGCACAAGTGTGCGAAGCGCCTGCACCGAAAATAGTCCGGAAAGAGCCATTTCCCGCACGCTCGTAGAAAAAACACATTCTACCTCTCTGTTATTTATTTTGTAGTCAGTTGAGTGAAGTAGCTCCAAATATTGTTTTTTGGTTTAATAGTATTAACACAGAATGTATAATCATACAACCAGCAATACCAGTGAGCAGCGTTGCGAGTTTCGGCGTTGCCATTATTGCCAATAAATCCTTGTATTTCCTGGCAAAACATGTACAAACAGACTTTGCCTGTATATTTTTTGAAAATTTCATCTTTATGAAATTTCCAGTGGAACATATGAAATTTTCTATAAAGTTTGGGAAATTTACAATCGAAAATTTCACCTGTAATGTCTGTAAAATTTCTCTTTTTTCGAATATTGAAAATTTCACATTTGAATATTTCAAACATGGAAATTTCCGGTGACCGGTTTTCGAGGTCGGTAGTTACCCAGGATTGGTCGAAATTCAGTGGGCGGAACTACCAGTTAGAAACTTTGTTGCCGGTACTAAACTTTCATAAAAAATGTTCTTATTTTTGATAATGATCGTCAGATATTGACAGATTTGGATGCCCCATTTTCTCATACAAGCCTCGAAGTGGGTTGAAAAGTACATCGATTTATAATAGAAAAAATAGTGAAATTTACGGGTGGCTCGTGGGGATAACATATAGGTATGAAAAAATCGATTTTCCCTTACAAAAATAAAAGCTGTAGGCGACCATATTTTTAGGCATACTGTGTTCACTGAAGAATGGATTGACAGAACATAGCTTCGGAAATCGGAAAAAAATGAGGGCATAATCTTGTAAGGGAAAATCGAGATTTTGAGCGATTTTTCTAGACAAGCTCATCCAAAACATGGAAATGTACATCGTCGCTAGCCCGAAAAATATAAGGAAAAGCCACTCGTAAATTTCAATTTGTTCAACTCAAAATCGATGTACTTTTCAACCCTCATCGAGGCTTGTATGAGAAAATGGGGCACCTAAACCTGTCACTATTTGGACGGTCTATATTATAATGGTCCCTATATAACAATTTTCATACAATACATCATTAGAGTTAATGAGTAGCTTTAAGCTAATCTTCGCCCTATGGGCAAAATGTCATGAACATTTGTTTTCAATAAAGACATTTTATTATTATTATTATTATTATTATTATTATCAAAAATAAAATAAGATAACATTTTTATGAAAGTTTAGTACCGGCAACGAAGTTCCTAACCGGTAGTTCGGCCCACTGAATTTCAACCAATCTTGGGTAACTACCGGCCTCGAAGACAGTCACCGGTACCGGCTATACCTAGCCACTGCCTATTTTAAAATAAGCATAAATAAATTTGGCTTCAAATCTCAGGATAATTTAGTGACAGCCAGTGGCGTAACTTCAAATCCGGGGCCCCCCCGCAAGGATTTTCCGGGGGCCCATCTTTTATGTATTTTTTTTTCCTTCTAATTTTGCTTTATACAGGGTGTCCGTTTTAAGTGATACCACTATTGCTATCTCCCAACTGGGGGACGAAGTACAAGTACAGTACAAGTCAACAACTAATGTCTAGAAAAACTCTAAGGTTGAATAGAGAACGAAAGATAACGATTTTCCTTGTTCCACCTCCAGCATTCCCAGTGCAGGCAGACCACATCTCGCTCTAAAATCTAATACTTTTTTCCCTTGTATAATGAATAACTATTATTCATGGAATGTTCCATCTTTTGGTGTTAAAGTTGCTCAATATTTTGGAATATAGAACATCATCCATAACTCTTTGGAATGTAGCCGGCGCGTTCTTTAAACCAAAGGGCATGCGCAAGAACAAGAACTTATAATGCCCACTTTCTGTGCTGAATGCGGTTTTTTCGATGTCGTTGTCTAGATCTGGTGGAAGCCGCTAGCTAAATCTAAGGCAGTGAAATACTGCCAGCGTCCCAGCTTCTTCAAGAGATCCGTTATGTTGGGTAATAGCATTGTATAATAGGTATCTGTCAACCTGTTTGTTAAAGTAGTTATAGCAAAAACAACAAAAACATAAAACACACAAGTTTGTTATAAAAATAAATAGTTAGGAATGTTAGGATCAGGAACTCAATATTTTTGTACCTACTGACTACACCCACTACATATACAATGCCAAAATCACTATGGGGGCTCCGCCCTCCATAGCAAATTCACAACGGGGGCTCAAGCCCCATTGCCCCCATGGTTCCGGCGCCTATGTGTCTAAACATTTCCCTCTGAGATTTCTTACATTGGTTAGACATACTTTTTCAATGGTTTTTATGTATTATGAGGTTCAAAGGTTAGTTTTAAGTATTAAGTATTTTCTTTTAGTTAAGTAATATTCATGTCGCCTGGTCTGGGGCCCTGCGGGGCCTTTAAGTCACAGGCCCTCCCCCCCGCAACTGCGGACCCTTAGTTACGCCACTGGTGACAGCATCTAGACACAAATCGCAAAATCTTGCGTGTTTGAAAAAAGTATTCTCATTATTTGTAATGAACTCTAATAGACATGTACTTGTATAATTTATTATCAAGAGGCGTCCTTGGAAATCCCTGCCCCCTCCCCCCCACAACCGAATCCAGAACAGGAACAGATTCACCTTGGGCCGAGGCGGTCGACCGCTGCAACTATACTACACAGAATCTATACTAGGACAATTCTCCCGTAGTTTGTGAATCCAGAAAGCAAAAATAGGCAGCGCGTGGCGAAGCCAGGGAGCGTCGCGACGCCGCGACCATAGCAGCGTCGCTCGCCACCGAATAATATGCTGTAATAACGTTTTGATTTATTTACCGTTTTAAGTTTTTATCAATCTAATTTCACACAGGTCAGTGAAATTAAAAGGGCCGTGATCGATTTGTGATTGTGACCTTTATTTGGATTTTTTTCGTGTGTTTTATTGTTTATCTTTTCAGGAATCGATAGGGTAAGCTATTTTAAATTATCAATAAATTTGAGTAGTGCGTGGCTGGCGATCATTAAGTTTTGTTTTTAGTTTATTCTGTTCGCGCGACATTTTCTGGCATCGAATATCGAATAGGAACAATTAGGTCTGCTTCTGCAGAAATCACAAACCAGTCAGAACGAATTTCATTGGTTGATTACAGCCAGAAAACTAGTTTCAACCAATAAAATTTATGCACTTTGACTGTTTTGTGATTTCTGCAGAAACAGACCTATTATTAAAATTATTTATTATTTAATTAATATTAGTGTGAAGTAATTTGAATTTTTGGCGCTAAGAACTTTATAAAACGTCATCGCATTAAAAATAGTTGAAAGTACATCTAGCCTAATATTTTTCGCTAATAATGATAAAGCAAGTTTGGCTCACTTTGATAAACTATAGTTACTTGTCACAGCTCTTCAAAAGTCCCAAATATCCAACAAGATAGCCTGGAATTTCTCAATTTAGTTAAAGCCTCCTACAATCCACTTCGATAATTGGGACTGTCATGAGAATCCATTTCTCTGATGGGAGTAAACAAAATATGTAATAAGATTTTTAATTGTTCAATGTTCAATAATAAGGGCATAGGTTTTATAAGGAATGTTTATAGCGCTCCTATACATATATTTATTTGTATTCATTTTCAAAACAATACTTATACATGACATTCAGCTTTAGGGCTTGCTGCGCTCTGCATTGCGTGTTTCGATCCAATATCATTATCTCTCCACGAAACATTTTAGTACAAATCGTCTAATTTGCAAAATTGGTTTCAGGTTACCGTTAAGATCACGTCCAAGATGAATTTGATGTTCCGGAAAAATTTTCGAGAACAAAAATCGGGGCCCATAAGTGGAAAAGGAACCAAGGGCAATGCCGGTAGGCATACTAATAAACGATGCACCAGAGAGCAAGGGTACACCCCTATGGAGGAGCACCATTATAGAACGCACTTGTTTTTTAGTCCTCCAAGGAGTAGTTACAGCCAAGAGGAATCGGACGGTGAGTTTAATTTTTGATGCGACTATCGGCAATCCAGAACTTTCTCTGCAGTATTGTAAACCTTGTTTATTATTTTACTTTGTCCGGATTGCTAAAACGTTAAAATTAGACAATTTTTATCTAAATTAATATTATGAGCTATATTTTTTTTTAATAATGAGCTTTTGTTTCATATTTTTTTCGCAAAATCTACCTTCTGCACCCTGCTAATTTAAACAAATTATGTAAGTACATATCCATGTTTTTTTTTTTTTTTTCGACCCTGAATTTGTTAAATGATTGAGTACATTCAGGCAGTGCCAGCGACTTATTTCAACCACTCAGCGGGAACCCTATTCTCGAAACAGGGGAGCAGCGTTCTCATTGGAAAAAAGGTTCTGTCTTTGTTGCGTCTTTGTCGTCTGGCATAACACTGACAATGACAGAAAAATCGTTCTTATGAGAACGCTGTTCAGTGTTGCCAAGTCTACTGATTTATCAGTAGATCTACTGATTTGGCCACTGGTCTGCTGATATACTGATATCAATGTAAATTCTACTGATAAAAGCCATTGCCATTATTTACCTGCGTTCGTGCGTGTTTGTGTTGTGTCTTTTTGTCTTATTTATTTGCCTTTTGCCTTGCCAGTTGCCTGAAGGCATGTGTTGTTGTTGGTTAGTCTTAGTCAATTATGCCTGATTGCACCGTCTCTCTTAACTGAGGCTTAACGATAACTATCCCTTAAATTGACAGTTTTGCATGGGAAAATGCCACTTTGAGGAATAGTTATCTCTAAGCCTGGGTTAAGAGAGACGGTGCAATCGGGCATTAGTCACATAGCGTTATGCTGTACAACTAACTGCAGCTTATTTTACCTGTTTTTATAAGACTCAACACATTTCACATTTCTGACATTCAATTTTTGTTTCTGACCACGGATTCTAAAAATTTAGCCAATACTGTACAACTTTTGTATTTACACCTTTGATCCACTTGCAAAGGTAATAAAAAAACACTCTGTACTTGAACAATAACATATATAAAGTCAGAATTTGTAAGGTTATCCACTTTTTGTCATTTCGCCTTTCAACAGGAATTAGTAATGTTACAGCGAGTTCCGCAGCCATCTATTTATCAATATGTTGTTCAATTACGATATTAACCTGACTCACTCAAATGTGAGTTATTCTCATTAGTTTAAAAACTACATGTTTCAGGTGAATGTCTTACTTGAACAGTTCAACAGTATATTGATGAGTAGATGGCTGCGGAACTCGCTGCGCTCGTCCCGCAGAGGTCCACCCATAAATTCCGCAATAATCCACTTATTTGTACTTGAGCAATAACTTATTATATAAACTCAAAATTTGTAAGACTATGATTATTCACTTTTCGTCAATTCGCCTTCCAACAGAAATTAGTAATGGTTACTTTACCAAACTAGTAATATATTATGTCAAGTTATTCAAGTACGAATGAGTTAATTGTTGTGGAACTTATAGGTGGACCTCTGCGGGACGAGCGCAGCGAGTTCCGCAGCCATCTATTCATCAATATATTGTTTAATTACGATACTAACCTGACTCACTCAAATGTGAGTTATTCTCATTAGTTTAAAAACTACATGTTTCAGGTGAATGTCTTACTTGAACAGTTCAACAGTATATTGATGAGTAGATGGCTGCGGAACTCGCTGCGCTCGTCCCGCAGAGGTCCATCCATAAATTCCGCAATAATCCACTTATTTGTACTTGAGCAATAACTTATTATATAAACTCAAAATTTGTAAGACTATGATTATTCACTTTTCGTCAATTCGCCTTCCAACAGAAATTAGTAATGGTTACTTTACCAAACTAGTAATATATTATGTCAAGTTATTCAAGTACGAATGAGTTAATTGTTGTGGAACTTATAGGTGGACCTCTGCGGGACGAGCGCAGCGAGTTCCGCAGCCATCTATTCATCAATATATTGTTTAATTACGATACTAACCTGACTCACTCAAATGTGAGTTATTCTCATTAGTTTAAAAACTACATGTTTCAGGTGAATGTCTTACTTGAACAGTTCAACAGTATATTGATGAGTAGATGGCTGCGGAACTCGCTGCGCTCGTCCCGCAGAGGTCCATCCATAAATTCCGCAATAATCCACTTATTTGTACTTGAGCAATAACTTATTATATAAACTCAAAATTTGTAAGACTATGATTATTCACTTTTCGTCAATTCGCCTTCCAACAGAAATTAGTAATGGTTACTTTACCAAACTAGTAATATATTATGTCAAGTTATTCAAGTACGAATGAGTTAATTGTTGTGGAACTTATAGGTGGACCTCTGCGGGACGAGCGCAGCGAGTTCCGCAGCCATCTATTCATCAATATATTGTTTAATTACGATACTAACCTGACTCACTCAAATGTGAGTTATTCTCATTAGTTTAAAAACTACATGTTTCAGGTGAATGTCTTACTTGAACAGTTCAACAGTATATTGATGAGTAGATGGCTGCGGAACTCGCTGCGCTCGTCCCGCAGAGGTCCATCCATAAATTCCGCAATAATCCACTTATTTGTACTTGAGCAATAACTTATTATATAAACTCAAAATTTGTAAGACTATGATTATTCACTTTTCGTCAATTCGCCTTCCAACAGAAATTAGTAATGGTTACTTTACCAAACTAGTAATATATTATGTCAAGTTATTCAAGTACGAATGAGTTAATTGTTGTGGAACTTATAGGTGGACCTCTGCGGGACGAGCGCAGCGAGTTCCGCAGCCATCTATTCATCAATATATTGTTTAATTACGATACTAACCTGACTCACTCAAATGTGAGTTATTCTCATTAGTTTAAAAACTACATGTTTCAGGTGAATGTCTTACTTGAACAGTTCAACAGTATATTGATGAGTAGATGGCTGCGGAACTCGCTGCGCTCGTCCCGCAGAGGTCCATCCATAAATTCCGCAATAATCCACTTATTTGTACTTGAGCAATAACTTATTATATAAACTCAAAATTTGTAAGACTATGATTATTCACTTTTCGTCAATTCGCCTTCCAACAGAAATTAGTAATGGTTACTTTACCAAACTAGTAATATATTATGTCAAGTTATTCAAGTACGAATGAGTTAATTGTTGTGGAACTTATAGGTGGACCTCTGCGGGACGAGCGCAGCGAGTTCCGCAGCCATCTATTCATCAATATATTGTTTAATTACGATACTAACCTGACTCACTCAAATGTGAGTTATTCTCATTAGTTTAAAAACTACATGTTTCAGGTGAATGTCTTACTTGAACAGTTCAACAGTATATTGATGAGTAGATGGCTGCGGAACTCGCTGCGCTCGTCCCGCAGAGGTCCATCCATAAATTCCGCAATAATCCACTTATTTGTACTTGAGCAATAACTTATTATATAAACTCAAAATTTGTAAGACTATGATTATTCACTTTTCGTCAATTCGCCTTCCAACAGAAATTAGTAATGGTTACTTTACCAAACTAGTAATATATTATGTCAAGTTATTCAAGTACGAATGAGTTAATTGTTGTGGAACTTATAGGTGGACCTCTGCGGGACGAGCGCAGCGAGTTCCGCAGCCATCTATTCATCAATATATTGTTTAATTACGATACTAACCTGACTCACTCAAATGTGAGTTATTCTCATTAGTTTAAAAACTACATGTTTCAGGTGAATGTCTTACTTGAACAGTTCAACAGTATATTGATGAGTAGATGGCTGCGGAACTCGCTGCGCTCGTCCCGCAGAGGTCCATCCATAAATTCCGCAATAATCCACTTATTTGTACTTGAGCAATAACTTATTATATAAACTCAAAATTTGTAAGACTATGATTATTCACTTTTCGTCAATTCGCCTTCCAACAGAAATTAGTAATGGTTACTTTACCAAACTAGTAATATATTATGTCAAGTTATTCAAGTACGAATGAGTTAATTGTTGTGGAACTTATAGGTGGACCTCTGCGGGACGAGCGCAGCGAGTTCCGCAGCCATCTATTCATCAATATATTGTTTAATTACGATACTAACCTGACTCACTCAAATGTGAGTTATTCTCATTAGTTTAAAAACTACATGTTTCAGGTGAATGTCTTACTTGAACAGTTCAACAGTATATTGATGAGTAGATGGCTGCGGAACTCGCTGCGCTCGTCCCGCAGAGGTCCATCCATAAATTCCGCAATAATCCACTTATTTGTACTTGAGCAATAACTTATTATATAAACTCAAAATTTGTAAGACTATGATTATTCACTTTTCGTCAATTCGCCTTCCAACAGAAATTAGTAATGGTTACTTTACCAAACTAGTAATATATTATGTCAAGTTATTCAAGTACGAATGAGTTAATTGTTGTGGAACTTATAGGTGGACCTCTGCGGGACGAGCGCAGCGAGTTCCGCAGCCATCTATTCATCAATATATTGTTTAATTACGATACTAACCTGACTCACTCAAATGTGAGTTATTCTCATTAGTTTAAAAACTACATGTTTCAGGTGAATGTCTTACTTGAACAGTTCAACAGTATATTGATGAGTAGATGGCTGCGGAACTCGCTGCGCTCGTCCCGCAGAGGTCCATCCATAAATTCCGCAATAATCCACTTATTTGTACTTGAGCAATAACTTATTATATAAACTCAAAATTTGTAAGACTATGATTATTCACTTTTCGTCAATTCGCCTTCCAACAGAAATTAGTAATGGTTACTTTACCAAACTAGTAATATATTATGTCAAGTTATTCAAGTACGAATGAGTTAATTGTTGTGGAACTTATAGGTGGACCTCTGCGGGACGAGCGCAGCGAGTTCCGCAGCCATCTATTCATCAATATATTGTTTAATTACGATACTAACCTGACTCACTCAAATGTGAGTTATTCTCATTAGTTTAAAAACTACATGTTTCAGGTGAATGTCTTACTTGAACAGTTCAACAGTATATTGATGAGTAGATGGCTGCGGAACTC